TTTATTTATTTATTTTTACATAAACCGGATTGTAAATGTAGAAAAATTTTCTTTGTGATTAATTTTATTTATAATTTGAGGAAATTAGATGCAATATTGTGATTAATGCTGAAAATTCCATTCTGTATCACAAGTACTGTTTTTGGAATAAAGTAAATTATTATTATTATTATTCAAGAACAAGATAGAAATGAGTCAGGCATAACGTGAGTAGTCCATCAAGTGACATCAGAAAACTAGCAGGCCTTCTAGTGGGAAACCGAAGGAAAGTGATTGGTTGAGGTCCGATGACAAATGGAGGAGACTTTGAAGATGAAATCTGCTAGGGAGAGGTGCAAATACTTGAAGCTGATAACAGAGAAACGGATGCAATGAAGGTGAATCGCTGAAGCCTTACATTCCATTCAGAATACATGGAATAAATAATACTAGTTACATTAATAACAATAATAATAACGGTACGTAGGTGGCGCAGTGGTTAGGACTCTCGCCGACCATGCACATAGTCCGCGATTCGACACCCTACCGACGCACAACTGATATCTATGGTCGGCCTGCAAAATTTGAGCTACCGATATCACATGATGAAAATTCCATACCTGTACCAATAAATACGGTGTGGAATCAAGCTATAGTCAAAAAATAAAGCGTGTTTTGGAAATCGCCACTTAAACTGCAATCATCATCTCATTATGAAAATCAATCAACGTTCTACAGTCAATCAAAAAAGAACCATTGCTAGGAAATAAAATAACAGTTAATTATACTTACAGAACGTAGCTCCTCTCTTGTAATCTCTCAGGTAGAATATGATCACGTATTTGTGCATATATATTCATCAAAACTGTCGATAATTATCATTACCTTATTGATTGTTCATAATGCTTTACCTTTCTCAATGTGTTATCGTATCACGCACCAAGTGGTTTCAGTCATAATTATCCAGTTATGTGCGTTGTATGTCGCTTAACACATTAGTGTAGTATTAACACACACAAACAAAATCTGTTGACGAGTGCAGTTGTGAGCTAGTTCTTTCAAATCGTACCATTCAAAGTGCAAAGGTTTCACATCGAAATTCAATGATGAAGTCACCCAACAAACAGACATCCAGAGTAATTAAAATAGATAAAGCATAGAAAGGAATACTTGAATTATGAAAACTGTAACAAAATAGTACGATGTGCTATATACTACTCGGTGACAAATACGAGTAGTTGACAACCATTCATGTTGAAATGTGGTCGCTGCTGTTCAGGTAGAACCTAAAACAACAATTTTAGCTACATATACTACTTTTGTGATGAGCATTCACACAGAAAGATCTAGTTTTCTCCAGCTGCTTTCATATGTAAATGGCGTTTATTTTGATTTGTTAGCAATGAATAGAATTATCAAATGCACCTCATTTACCTTATAAACATGATTCTCGCCATAATATCCTCGCGTGAAGGTATCATAACAAGTCAAGGTGAGGGATATCCTCGAATACATCGATGATACAAGATTCGAATTAGTGCTTCCATTTGGTTCAAGCGATTGACATGCACGTCGCGCAAATTGATACCAACAATCTGCAGGCTATTATCAACAGCTGTGTCCCATGCCTCCATACTGAAGATCACATGGCCAGCAAGAGCTAACAATAGCGGACATTGAGAGGTGAAATAGTACGAACCAGTTTGTTTAATTCGAGATCACTGAGGAACCTTTCGCAGTTCAAACAATAACTGCTAAGCATTCATGAATAATTCATCATAGACATGTTTTTAGTTGTGGTCCTTGGGATGGTAGGAACCAATGAAGTCTGCAGACAATTGGTGATATGGCTCAAAGTGATCGTTTCCAGTGATTAGCGCATATACTTTCACTTTTTGTGACTGGTCATACCCAATACAACACCATTCTTCTTATTCGATATGATTATTCTTTTTCCTCATTCACACTTGTCTTTATTATCTCTCCCTCTATTGAATCACTCTTCAATGCCTCTACCTTTGGTTTGTGTGCTGAAGGCAGGGAGGTTTGGGCACAAACTTGTGCACATGCGTTCAAAGTATTTCTATCTTGAAGCCAGTTATTCACTCAAATACATTTAATGCGTCTTCCACAGCATTGAAATAAATCTTGAGCGAAAATAAGAGAATAAATGAAACTAAATTATGTAGATATCAGGTAAATCAGTTTCCAACTCGTCTGTGGATGACTTCGGTGATTCAATTTCTTCTATTTAAATAGTTTCGCATATGACCATCCTCAGACGCCACTTCAGCTGTGTAGATGGCATGCACATCCTCAGAGTCTGTGATCCAGCCAAACTAGTCCAATATGTTAGCGAAACACTTTCATCAAATAATCTAAACGTTTTATGTCACTGGAAGATAACGTTCGTAAGATTGCAATTCTAAATTTGTGAGTGACATTGACTTTCATATTGTAACCATTATTCGGAGGTTGGGTGGTGTAGTAAGTATGTGAGTAATTAAGCACACCACCTTCATTTAGGATGGTACGGTGAAACATATCAGCTGCACAACCGTTCACTTAAAGCTGGTGAGCTAGACAATCTATTCTCTTGTTTCGCATTTCTTAAACAGCTGTGACTACACTGATGGCTGCAGACTAAACTGAGAAACCTCAACACGCTATCACAACATTCCTGTGCTCCTGATTATCATAAAGATCCTCGTGTTCCTTCAGCCGATGAGCCGTTTAGTTTCCAAGTGGTTGCAGCCATCAATACACCTCACGAGCTGTGTAGTACTAGGAAGGAAATGAAATCCAGAAATCCCTCCCATAACTGTACAGCTCAGTCTAGTCTAATATCAACTGAGATAAATAGAAACATTTTAAAAAGTAAAAAATTCTTACCCATAGATAAATGATTGCTTCTCCTGATTCAGGTATATCGAAGACTCATAAGATAATTCAAAGCGTAATATCTTCTAGAAATGTTTCAATATAAGGGAAGAAAACTGAAGATGTAAATCCGATCAAAATCAATTGATCATGTCACAATGAACGCAATACAAGCATAAGGCTGCGTGGATTAATTCCCTCCGATATTATTAGCAGTGGTGTGAAGTGAATCAGCTTATCAGTTCTCAGAAGAATGAAATTATAGAAAACCAATTATCACAACTAGGTACTTCGTTTGTTTGTTGGTATGTTTATGAGTTCGCTCATTATATGGAAGGATACACTTCAATAAATAAGGCAACCTGAATAGAATCTTATTCGATATACGAAAAGATAATTGAGAAGTATCGCAATTAAATTCGTTTTCTATAAAAACAGAATTAGACATAATTGGTCATATATGCACTAATAGTAAATAAGCTCATTAAATGATGATGCATGTCTACCAGATTGAGGTTGTTAGATATTGACACTGGTTTCATACATGACATATCAATGAATTGTGAATTTAGAGGATTTTGATTTGCTTCCTTTGGAACCCAAAGGGAATAATAACAGTAAGGATAATAACAATGAAATAAACTGTATGATTTCAACGTAAACATCACTGACATCAAAAATGGGCATATGAATTAAACCATGATAAGACTTAAAGATTTATAGGGAACAAGAATTAGCACCTCATTTTGCTAATCAATAAACCACTAAGAATAATTTGAAACACCTATAATTAACATTATTGATTAAACTGTAATTTGCAAAGGTTGAGAATCTCCTAAAATACCAATATGCGATTCAAAATCAAAGTAAGCGAAGTAATTATCAACGATTTTTTACAGACTGAATTTACTATTGAGGGTGCAAAGGTCTTGTGTCGAATGATAATGGTTATTTCAATTTGAACAAGTCGTTCGATTTTCTCATTGATTCTGCTATCTTGATGAAAATGAAGAGTGAAGTGGAATCAACCCCCCCCCCGAATTCATAGTTCTCATAAGACGGTTATAGAATGCGTAAATCCTAGAGAATCGAATACATGAATGAACATTCACCGTGAAATTATTTCCTACACATTTTAACGAATATACATTTCTACTTGTAAGCACAGAATAACAATAGCGAAATGAGGGGCGTCAGCTACAGTACAAAGAATGTTTTAGTTGCTCAGTTGTGACCACATTGGAAATATACTTATAGATTAGAATGATGTATGCACTGAAATCTACAGCTGATGACGTGCTCAGAATGAATTTACACAGGAAAGGAGCACATCAAGATAATTGGTCCTAATGTTGAAAGTGTAACACCACTGATAACAAAATAAGATGTTGAATAAATTCAGAATCTGAGTAACTGAAAGATTAAACGGAAATTCAGTGCAACATACTGTCATACAGAGTTGAAGTTAATAAGGGAGAGGTTACGAGGATATCACTGATATACTTGTCGTCTTTCATGGAACGAATAATTTAGGCTGCCTTCTCACACTCTGATGGTACCAACAATTGATGTAATCAAAGAACATTACATTCGAAAGGATTTTTGAGGGATGAAAATAAATCCTGCATCTCATGAGAATCAAAGAATAAATATTCGTATTGGGCAACAAACACACCGAAAGTTACTGACTAGACTCCGGACAATTTGGCATATAATCCTGGATAGGAGAACGGCTAGCTGGTACTCCAGGTATCCTATAGTGTTTGCCTACATTCTTGTTATGCCACTAGCTGTTTGAGCCATGTGTATAATCAATGGAGAAGGTTGCTATGTTGTCACAAATTTGTTTTGATTGACAATGATTTGAATATTTCATGCAGGGTACCTGCAGTGTAAACTGTTCGATGAAGAAGTGAGCACTTCCCAGAAACTGCTTACACCGTATCACTTTTCGTTCTCAAAATATGGGGAACATGCGTTCTCTAGAATCATGTTTTTCTTAATGTAGGAGTTTCCATCTCACTATTTCTACAGACAAACACTAACCAAGGAACAAGCCACTATCACAGTTCTAACATACATTCAAATAACAGTGGAAAACACGACGAGCAAACAAACGACTTTAATTCAATTCATTTTTCGCTTCTAATTTTACATTTAATCAATTCAGACATTGCAGGAAATCAAAGAATCATACAGTGTTCAGAATGAAGAAAATAAATTTTAAATTGGTAGTTAATAGAAGTACAGTGAATAAAGTTGTTTATTTAACATTTCTGGATGTGAAGAATAGTCGAAACGTTGGAAACGTTTGCATTAGTTTGTCACTACTCTGGACATTTTCCATCACTCCATGTTGGGAAGCAGATTAATATTTGCGTGAACAGACATATCATCGAACACCAGACGATAAATGCTAGAAACGGTGATGAGCATTGAGGTGACAGACGCTCCAGAATTAATTGTCGTTTATTGACAAAGATGAACATCATCTGTAAAGTGAATAGACAGAACACATTTTTACATGGAAATGAATATCTTTGATTTATGTGAGTATGCTTAAAATTCACAAAATTTTAGATTGTATTCTAATACTGGTTATTTTTCAAAATATGAACAATTCACACTTCATCCCATCAAGAACATATGAGGCGGCAGCAAAGAGATTCCCTCATTTCGCAATTACACTTCAAAGCTTCACACCTATTTGGAGTATCTATACATGCAATGTAGATCAGCAACAGAGGTAAGAAGTAATTTACAATTTGTAGGAAGGTAAGTCAACTGGATGAGTAATAACTGCATCTAGACGCGCCCATGAACACGTACCAAGATGGTTGTCACAAGAAGAACAGTCAACAGCTGAATTCTGGAGCACATGATAACTTCCGATCACACACCATCGGCACAGACTTCATCCGAAGACGTATACAAAGCAGGACGAAGCCCCTCAAAAAGATTTCGCCGAAACAAATGCTTCAGGCAGCTAGAGCAATAGCAATACTTCAAGCGAAACCTAAACTCTGAGTTCAGAAACATTTCATCCAAACTCCTTACAACTATGGCCTTCTTTGTCTTTCTGAATACCTAACTGTGTAATAGGCTCAATATAGTCTGCTTTAAGGTTTTCGAATTCCATATTCAGTCTTTTCTTAACATTTCTCATATCAACTATTTTCAAACGATTATTCATAACTCAACCCGTGAGTTGTCAACCCTTTTGATTATACCACACTATTCATATTTTTCAAAAATAGTTATCACTTATCCATTTTGATTTTCTTTGTTTGTAAGTGACAATGTACTTTAGCCACTGTTATCAATCTCTATTGATTACCTGTATATGAATGTTGGCTTAATTTCTAAACAATGTGGAATTTGCTTCTGATAGAACAGCAGATGAATACAAATCAACTGTCAAGCATCCTAATAAGAGTGGCTACCTCACGGACACAAGTAGGGTCATATAAGTAGCTTGCATGTGTAGCTCTAAAACAACAAAGACAATGATTGCACTAATGAAATCATCAACTTACAACGAGTACAAACAGGCAGGACAGTACCCCTTGTGCAGTGAGAAATGCCTAAGTACAAAGCAAAAGAGCAAAGAATAGTTTATTGATAAATTTTGGAAATCATGTTTCATTTATCTGTACAAAATACCATATTGATACATCTACTGATACATGGATAGCAGTGTTAATCACAAAATATTCTCAAACTTTTGTTCATGCAATGATTACGATGTATGCGAACTGTGAAACCAATAACTCCTATTTGGAAGTAGAGCAGTCATTTTTATCTAGTGGACGGAATATATTATCGTGATAGACGGTAAACGACATGAATGTAAATGATTGTACGTCATGTAAAATAACCATCCATCACTTCAATGTTTTACTACAAAGAAACTCTTGTCAAGTTAGATTATGAAAATTTTGTGATAGTCATTACAGAATTAATTGAATGTTATAATTACGTAGAATAATACCATGTTACCCTATCAAACAGATCATCGTCAACGGATGTTGAATCTAGACCAAGTTTCATCCTACGCTATAATTACTCTGAAGACACCTTCCATCTCTTCATAATTAACAATAATATATTCAAATAAAATTACAGATTCAAGTTCTGGTCTTTTAATGAACCCCGCAGCTGCCTCAGCGAATATCAAACACATAACAATAAGTAGTGTCGTCAGCAAAACAAACAATCCTTTTTCATTCAGCGGTGGCAGCTTTAAAGCCAGAAAAACCGTGATAACCGACAGCAAAATTGTCACACCCAGTGATACTAATCCAGGAGGAATTAATTTAATGCGTCCCAACAATGCAGCAAAGCACACAGACCACATTGTAACCTGTAACAAAATGGAAGTAGAAATAACAATAATGGTTAAGTAATTGAAGTCTGATAAATGAGAATATGAAATACACAAAATATTGAGTAATCTGAAATAACAATTCACTGCACATACAGTCAGCCAATCCGCTGGAAGCCATAGTAGAATGACTCTTCACTACTGCTTAGAAATCCATACAAGAATGAAAGCCAGTTGAAGTATTCTCCTGAATATTCATGATTCTGTACGAATCCTCCGATGCTCTGGTATGTTTACAGCAGACCAGCAAGATTATTCGGAGTAAGTCAGAAACAAAAGATCACAGCATCTTATCATCGCATGGTCTAACACGCAATCCTCAAGCTTCGGTAATGGATCCAAAGAAAGTGAAATAGCAGTAGCCTTTTCAGATGAAATCATCGCCCACTGAGTGGCACTCTAGTCTGCAAGATAGGATGGATCAGCAGTACAAGTGTCTACTTACGTATCTTAATCAATGGGTAACAGAAACACGACTGATAAGTTCGTGGAAGTCAATGGTCAAATCCTTATCCGAAAACATGCAATTTTGTTTGTTATGACGATAAGATGAGCACTTGTGCATACACCTTTCGTATTTTAAATTCTCTTGCTCTCCAATTGACTAACGAATTGTTATGATTGTCTGTATCAATATCACTGAGATCTATAGGAAAACATTTTTCACGTCAGCCTGTTTTTCATTCACTCCACAATTTTCATGGAAGTATTCCGTGAAATGTCGATCAGCGTTCATAAATTCTGTTCGAATAATGCAGCTATTATAACATCTCGGAATATATATCCATTAACATGAATAACAGCTTACTTCGCTTTACAAAAGCCATTGCTGTCAAAAGACATTAGCCCAACCTATGTATACAATACAGAAAGGTATTGTGATTAATCTCTCAATATGCTGGTAATCGTAATTGTTTAGTTCTGTTGCGCAACATTACAATCAATCTTGATTTTCATTTTCAATCACTGTTGAGGTTCCAAATCTACTCAGTTAAATTATGATATCTGTCTTATACTTTTGATTTACTAATCAATGCCACCATCCTGAACACTAAACCATTATATGTACACATTAATTATGTTTTTCTATCCTGTATTTTAACTTTAGTTTATCCCTGCTTAACACAAATTTGAATTCCAAAATCATTGTCTAATCACTACATAAATAGATACTCTCTTAACACTCAATGATTTGCTACCTACATCACCCGTGAAATAATGCTGCTTATAGTCTCTCTTTCTCTCTATAACAAGAATTCATTGTAGAAAATAAGTTCAGAAATTTCGTAACACATAATAATTGATTTATATAGGATGTACGCAGTAGAATAGAATTGACGAAATAAAATGAGCTCGCATTATTCTCCGAATTGGTTGGTTATTTCTTCATTCAAAATAACAATGTCGTGTTGGGAATCAAATGGGCGATTAATTGAATGCATTTCTGGTGACTACAAAACATCACAGTCACGCTTCATTGGTTTTGTTTGCGAAATGGTGTAAACGCTTACGGAACCATGTAGGATAAAAATAAAAATGATACTCACTGTTAATCCAAGCAGTATGCTAACAATGAGACAGTGAGTTTGAAGCTTCTTCACAAATAGAAAGAGAAGTAGTGGGATGAAACCAACTAGCCTAAAATGTATTCACAAATATCGAACAGCAATCTCTCAATCATCACACACTTGATCAAAATAAATTCATTATCAGATTACTTCATATCAAGCCGTAGTTGTCAAATAATCAAATGTTTGTTGAGCAGACACAAGACCACAGATGTAGGCAAATAATAATAGTACGATAATCTTAGATGCATATATTTAAGTGAAATAATACAGAGAATAGAGTGGAGGTCTCTATCTCCACACCCATCTTTATTGTCTTCAGTGGATGCAGAAATGTAATTGCACAAATTCAGTAGAACTTCGCTCAAATATTCCTTCTCTCCATGTCTAAATTCTTGATGTTAACATCGTCCTAATATTCTTCATCCTTGCAATGCACTGTCTGTACCAATTTCCCATTTCTTGCGTATTCCAATTACTCGAATTATATTGGTTTCGTCAGATGTCGACGTGATGAGTGAAGATCCATTTAGCTACTGTGTAAACTGTTTGGTAGAAAACTTATCCTTGTCTCATCCAGTTTCGTGGAATTGTCTGAATACATGCACTGCAGTGACTAGGTACCTTTTGGCGAAGTTCTTCCTATGCAGATATATCATTGTACACCTAGCTCAATTCCAGTGTGCTAAAAACCTACGTGATCCCAACTACCAGATATCATGTGATGTTTTACTACCTAGGACATTGAGATCACTGTACAGAGTTTACACCGACACTTAGCATAAACGGAAGACCAATTTCCAACCTCAGATTTGCTGATGATATAGCACTCATTGGGGAAAACATTGATCAAGTTCAGGACCTCACCTCAAGACTTGATGTTGCAACCAAATTTGTGGGCATGGAAATGAGCACAGAAAAAAGCAAAATACTCATTAACGGAGGAAACAACTCAGATAGATGTATCAGACTTGATGGACATGTATTAGAAAAGGTTGAAACTTCCAAATACCTTGGGTCTATCCTAACAATGCGCACAAATCAACAATCTCCGTAGTTTTCTCATTTATTTGACCTAATCTGTGTCTTGTTATATTCTGCAAAATTGATCTTGATTCTGAGAATTTATTGGAACATGTTGAACCTCACTGACACCATTCTGTACTCATCCTTCATGTTTTCACTTCATTTGTGAATCTATCATGACAAATCACTCCCTATTATTCTTCTCAGTCATAAGCTGATTTGATTCCATGTATAATAGAACTCAGCAGTGAGAAGCAACTGAGACATCATGTAATTCAGATGAAGTGTAATTGTCCTTCAGTTATCTCCATCAAATGCGAATAAATAAAAGGTGTTATGACATAAAAAGAAAATATTCGGAGGGCTTTATCACGTAACGCTAGAAGAAGAAGGACGTTGTTAAGGAATGTTTATTTGCAATTTGGTGTCTCTATATAACCAATTATTGTACGCCTTATCTTCAAATCACCATTTCCCCGCTGTGATACTTCTCGCCTCAATTCATTTTGTGTTTCTCTGAGTCAATTTCACGTCTCCCGTGTATCTCCGCAACACAGGATCGTTTGCTTTCTCTGACATCAAATCATTCTGCCTGCCATCTGATGTTTAATGCCGTTGAACATTTCTTGTGTTTATATATATGCATATATACTACTGAAAAATCGTGTCAGTAGCACACGCACCAATCAAACTGTTTGCAGAATTTATTCTAGGTAACGTGGAATGATTTTGAGCAATACGCAACAGCTTACATTATAGTCAGTGAATAAATAAGACAATATCCCTGTGTTCTGTGTCAAATATATATTCTTACCATTCTACAGTATGTCACATTACTGACTCCAGAGGTCTTCAGGTAGAGTACATACAACATATTAGTTGATTGTCATTTCCAATGAAATACATTTGCATATTTAGACAAAAAATGTTCAGTCATGTTGAATAATCAACTTACAAAAAAAGATATTTCACATAATCATGTTTCATTAAGAAGTCACGAAGTTGTGGTCTACAAGACAAATGGAAGTTGACTTTAATTTCAGCTTACATTGTGCTCAATGAAACGACGATTGCGACTGTTATCAACACCATCCATGTGGTGTCGGCGGCGAACTAACAACGAAAATCAGTTGAAGAAAGCATAATTCCCTCACCCAAATAACTTGTTTCACAGAGAATGGCTGTCCTACCAGACGTTCATGTTTCAGTTTCTTGTCAGATGTATAATAACGTGCCATAATCGCATCAGCTGTGTTCATTTTCATATTTGTGCTGACAAATGAAGATAATAACAAAATTTGAAAAAATAAATGACACTAACACAAATATGACAAATTCATTACAAGAAAAGTATTCTTGCGTGAACTGACTTTCACATTACGTGATAAATTATTCAAAATCAATCAGAAAATGGCTTTTTGTGAAGATGATGAAATGTAATACCTAATAATATTTTGAGATTGACGGTTACCTCTGTTGTGTCAGTAGTTCAGTGGTAGAATGCTCGCCATCCATGTACATGGTCTAGGACTCGATTCTCGGCCGACCACACCTTGACCTCTCTAAGCCAACTGCAATGCTGCTTTAAAGGGAAGTTTGTGTGGGACCAACAGCCCCCACTAATAAGAACAAAACCACTGATACTGAAACTTCAAGGATGACTGAATGGCTCAATTCAATTGAGTATCCTCAGCAATCAACTCAGTCACCTTCGATTATATATCAAATAATGGTAACGAAAAATCCGAATCTTTATGCTCTCACTCTTACAACTTGGCTTTATCTTAACTGTCAGAAGTGGTGCATCGCTATCAGACCATAATTTTGCAAATTTAATAAGTTTGCAATTCATGTCAGGCAAGGGTACAGTGGGGCCTGAAAAATATACAGCCAACAAACCGCATTTCTCCTCTACGAATTGACCATCAAAAGGAATAAGCGCATCATTTTTAGCCAACACAACTTGAATAGGACTGTAATTTCACTCCACATCTGAGTTTGTTAGATCAAGGATTACGAAACCAAGACTGGTGTTCAAAATTCTGTAATCGACGTCAAAATCCACAGAACTCGTCATAAGGCATGCTATCCAATTGTTTCACACTTACTTGCTTTCATCACTTCCATATATTTCAGACACTTCAAGAGACTGTCTCCTTTCACTGATAGCTGCCTTCGTTGGATATTGAAGATCAGTTGGGCTGCCACAAGGCATGAACATCAAAAGACGCTGAAAGAGAGCGCATCATTGAGAAACGTATCACCGGAGAAATATGCAGAAGAAGGTGTGGATAAGTCATACATA